GTGTGTGTGTGTGTGTGTGTGGCTCTAGCGGCTCTAGCTCTAGCCAGCTGACCCGTGTAGAGGAGGATGTCTCTGAGTCTCAGAAACCTGAGAAGCCCACCCACAGCTCTGTGATGAGCGTCACCAACACGACTCTGGGCGCGGCCCCGAAGAAGCAGGTGAAGCGCCGCCACCGCCGCAAGAAGAGCAGCTGCTCCCCCGACTCGGTGGAAACCAACGGCAAAACGGAGCACAGCGAGTGCAGCCTCAGCGCTGAGTGCAGCGAGCTCGGGGAGAAGAAGGAGCGGACGGCCAAGACCCGGAGAGAGCTCCCCCCTCGCCTCCGCACCACAGGGGGCCCGCCCTCTGACTCCACCTCTGAGGAGGAGGCAGGGCGAGAGGACCGCAGCTGGAGCAAAGAGAAAGCCCGAAGAGTGAGGCGCCGCAGCGGAAGCAGCCGGGAGAGGGATGGAGCCAACGAGGGGAAAGAAGAAGAAGAAGACAAGGTGATGGAGCTGCAGTCGGTGTGCTCGGAAGAAGGGAAGGAGAGCCTGCCGCTGGCGGAGGAGAGAGCCGGGCTGAAGAAACGCAGCAACCGGGCCTCCGTGAAGAGAGACGAGCACGCCTCACAGAGAGGAGGCTCACAGAGCAGGGAGAAGGAGAAGAGCTCCAAGTCAGACTCCTCCTCAGGCTCCTCCTCACTGTCCGCGGACGGAGAGGAGCTCATCAACAAGAGATACCAGGAGAAAGGGGCAGGGGGGGGCGACATGTCAGTGCCCACCCCTCAGAATCACTGTGCTATGAACGGAAGCACACAGTACTCTGACGACTCTGATACGGATGTCTGCAGGTGAGTGAGTGCTTGTGAGGCTTATTTCAGTGTCTGTGTGTCCACGTATCATCCATCAATATCACTTTCATCATTTAAGGTCATGGTCCAAAAAGGGAGCTTCTCTTGGTCAGGGAGACAGTAGATACCCCACAAGTGTAATCCATTAATGTCATTTTATGATTAGAAGATGCCAAATAAGTGTAAGGGGGTAGAAGTATAAGGTGGCATGATAAGAAAATACTCAAGGGAAGTAAAAGTACCTCAAATTTGTACAATATCCGACTTGCTTATGTGTGAGTACTTCATGTTTATTTTCTATGTGTGTAGGATCTGCCACTGTGAGGGGGATGACGAGTGCGCCTTAATAACGCCTTGTCGCTGCACGGGGAGTCTGAGTTTCGTGCACCAGTTCTGTCTCAACCAGTGGATCAGGTCCTCGGACACTCGCTGCTGTGAACTTTGCAAGTTTGACTTCGTCATGGAGACGACGCTCAAACCGTTGTGCACGGTAGGCAGTCACACTCATATACTCCATTCACAGCTATGAGCTGAGATCTATTGTCAGGCTGCAATAATGAAAATGTTTCTCTCTCCCTCTTCTAAAAACTCTCCCCCATCCCTCCTTCTTCCAGTGGGAGAGGCTAAACATGTCAACGGGCGAGAGGAGGAAGATCTTCTTCTCGGTGGTCTTTCACCTGCTAGCAGTAACGTGTATTCTGTTATCAGTCTTCGTTCTGGTCATGAGAACCTCAGAAGAGATCAAAATTGGGAGGAACGGTGAGTTCTCAACG